TTTCCTAACTAAAATAGTTAGTAATATTAGAGAAGCTCTAAATGGCTAACCATTGGACTGTGTCCCAATATTGCTAGTTAAATTTAATTAGCCACTATTAATTGCATAAACATAAAATATTTTCTCCCTCTCCTCGTTTCTCTCCCACCTTTCCCCGGATCCATTATTACTGTCGTGCGTGTTGTGCAAGTCGTGGAATTCATTTCGGATCCTATTTTAATGATCTAAACTATTGAAAATTTAAGAAATATCGAGAACAATATACCTGAAAAATATCAAGTTGATTGGATATCAAGAACTTGTTCATCAAAAAACATTTGTATTTAGTTTGATACATATATATTCATTTTTTTATATGAAGATGTTATTTGATGAACAAGTTATTGATATCTGATTAACTTAATTTTTTACAGATATATTGTTCTCGATATTTTCTAAATTTTCGGTTCGGATCATCAAAATAGGATCTGAAATGAGTTTCACAAACCGCATAACAGTCACTACTATGCTTCACGCACAACAGTGACACCAGCTCCCCTTTCCCCTCTCTTATTAGAGAGTTTAAATTTAAATATATATATATATATATAATGAGTAGTTAAAATATAGAGTCATATTGGATGATATATTAAAAGAAGTAACTAGTTAAGAGCATCTTCAATAAGGTTAATTATTTTTAACCCAAATTAAGGTTAAAAAAATGGGTTCTTGCATTTTAGGGAGTTACTTTTCAATTATTATCTTAAATATGTGACCCATTATGTGAAAATCCTTTATGCACTTAGATTTACTCTTTCAACAATGCTTCATATTCTTCCTTTTCCTTAGTTAAATATTATTTTCAACTCTGCTACGTAACTCGAAATCGTATGGCTCGAGTGGCCCGAAACTTTGTCTTCTTCTTTCATCTCTTCTCTTCCCTTCTCATCTTTTAAAAAATCCTTCATTTTCTCTGGAAAACAAAATCCACAGAGACCCCCATACACTCTCACATTTTCTCAAACAAACACACACTGTGTTTTAAAGAAAGAGGGGCTTACACTCACTAATGGCAGCACAAGCACATGCTGATGATGATCAAGAAATTTAAGAAACCCAACAACAACACCCATAACAACTACCCACCTCCACAACCACCATTGAACTTCACAGCCAATGATTCGAAACCCGGACCGGCCGGTTGGATAGGGAACCGGGCCTTGTTCTGGTCCGATCAACCCCCTAAAACCGGACTTGGTTCAAAATCGGTGTAGAAATGGAAAACCGGAAGACCCGGCGATCGAACCGGCAAAACCGGTGACCCGGCCAAGTTTGGAGGGTTGGACCATTTTTTTTTAATTTTTTTTCTTTTTTTTCTGTTTCTTTCTTATATATATATATTTCAAAATTTTGACTAAAAATTCTTACTTCAAGAGTCTCCTCTCATAAAGAAGAGTCTCATTGGAAGTTTGAGAAGATTATGAAAGTCTATTTCTATTTATAGGAAAAGATTTTTCAAAGAGAACCTATAAAATTCTATGTGGGATTCAATCAAATTATTTGAAACATATTGATTGGAGGAAGAGCTGAAAATTTCATTTCCCTCCAAAATTAAATCTAGCATTCAATCAATTTGTTTAGAGGGAATGTTTAAAAATTTTAATTTCTTTAAAACAAGTGACCTTTTTTTTTTTTAATATCAATTATGACTTTATTAAATATTATTAATAAATACTATGCAATAATTTTTATTTTTGTTTGAGTATTTATATATATTTTTATTTATTTATAATTTATAGTAATATTTTTTAATTATATAATAATAATTATGACGTCACGGTTCGACCACTTTGACCCGACGGTTGAACCGATGACCCGTCCACTCGATCCCTTTTTCGGTTCGCTCACCGGTCCAGTTTTCAAAATATTGTTCACAGCAACCAACAAGACTGACATTGGTGGGCCCACAGAAGCTTTTGGCCCACCACTTAGAACCCAATTCACGGTTCAAGCACTAAAGCTCAACACCATTGAAAACCCAACGCTGCACCAGGAACCAATGGCATCTAAACACTTGTCAAGAGAAGAACTAGCCACGTAAGTAGACAAAAATCCTGCAGAGTTATTGCACCACACATCAGCCATTAATGAGGCTCCTGTAGCATTAAATGCGATAACCCCTCCACGTCGGAACGGGTAGCCTCACCGTGAACAAGGCAAGCTAGAGCATAAACTTTCGGCCAACATGACAGGTCGAAGTGGACAAGGAAATGATGGACAAATGATATAAGGAGGCTTCCAAGACACACAAAAGGTTCAGTTTCCTATTCTTATTCTCTCTCTCTCTCTACACACCATCAATCATTCTCTCTTCTAACTTGATTGTCGGAGGGTCCGCTGGGGGACTCCCGTTCCCCGTTGGACATTTTTGCAGGTATTCCAGTGAGCTCAGAGACTGGTGAACGGCATAGGAACTGTAGGTCAACCCAACTTGCCCTTCAGGGGTCAACAGTATCATTAATTGGCGCTGTCTGTAGGAACGCCACTCTAGGTAACAGTTGTGCTCATTGTTGCTGGAGACCCGCTCTCGATAATTCTTCCTCACCGGCCATCAACGTGGATGGTCATAACGAGATCCATGTCTTCTCAACACAACGTCGTCGCCCCCAAGCTGACCCTCCCAACCCAAACAACCCACCTCAGTACTTCACAGAACTCACCAACAGCATCAACTGCTTGGCTGAGCAAAACCAGGCCTTGATCAATGCCTTGCTCCAGCGAAACCTCCTTATACCTCCTGTACCACCACAAGATATCCCTCCCAATCGAGAACAAACCCCGAACCATCCTTTCTAACAAGCCTACCTCTTCAACTTAGAGGGTCTACAAGCCCCACCTCAAGACATGAACTTACCATCTCGGGATTTACATCCATCAGTTCAAGCACCTACTCCTAAGGGAGAGACTGGTAGTGTTCAAACCCTACTACACTCTAGAGGTGACAATGTTCCTATTTAGGATGCGGAACTCCATGCCATGAAACTCCAGCTTCAAGGAGTCATGCAGAACATACAGAATAAACCCTCCACAGCAGCCAACTCCCCGTTTGTCGCTTCCATCGAGAACAAACCCCTACCTCCCAAGTTCAAAATGCCCCCGATCGACTAATTCAACGGCACAACGGATCTGATTGACCATTTGGAGACCTACAGGACCCTCATGATCCTCCATGTTTTTCCTGACGAGATCTTATGTCGGGCTTTCCCCGTGACGCTTAAGGGGTCGGCTCGACTAAGGTTTAATCAGCTGCCACCGGATTCTGTCTCTACCTTCTAACACCTAAGTGATTCTTTCCTGAGTCATTTCATTGGTGCTCAACGCCAGCGGCACCCAGCAACTCAACTGCTTAATATCCGTCAGATGGAAGGTGAGTCACTACGTAGCTTTGTCACTCGTTTCAACACCAAGGCCCTACAATTGGCAGAAAATGACGACAAGGTCATCCTCACAGCCTTCATGGCCGGTTTACGACCATCCGATTTCTTTTGCTCCCTTTCTAAAAACCCTCCAACTACCATGGCCACTCTCCTCTCCAAAGCCCAAAAATATATGAATGTCGAAGACTCTTTGGCAACCCGCTAAGATACTACAACAAAAAATCCAACCCCTAGGGAGAAAAGAAAGGAATTCGAAACCAAACCCTCCCAATATACACAACAAACCCCTCAGTACACCGAGTGACTCGCTCGAGCCGACCGATCGGCACCTACCCGACCGCCCGGTCGATTCGAGCAATACACCCCCCTTAATTCCCCCATAGAACAAGTCTTGAACCATATCCAACGAGATTACAACCTGAAATGGCCCCAACCATCACAGTCTCCCTCCAACCGGCAAGATCAATCCAAGTACTGCTGTTTCCATCAAGACTACGGCCACAATACTGAGGAAGGTGTTAACCTTAAAGACCAGGTAGAGGATTTGATACGCCAGGGGCACCTCAGTTGGTTCATGGCAGCCCGTCTCTAGCAGCGACAAAGGACCGACCTGCTAGGGGGCCACCGCCGACATACCCCTCCCCGACAACCCGCACAACCTAAGCGAGACAATGATCGGCCCCCACTACAACCCTGAGCACAAGGCAATCCTGCCCCCCGATCGGAGAGATCAGAGTCATCGCTGGCAGACTCATATGCGGTCCATCCCGTTCGACCCAACGAGTCGAACTCAGAAAAATCAGACACGGCTTTGATAAAGAAGTCACGAAATTGGATCGCCTTTTCAAACACGTCAAGCAGTGGACTGAACTTATCACCATTACGGAGGCCTACTGTATAGGCATCCGTTACCCCCACGATGACTCCCTCGTCATCTCGGCTCTCTTATCCAACTACAAACTCAAATGGGTGCTTGTCGACAACAGCAGCCCTTCAGACATCATCTTTCTGAATGCCTATTGCCAGCTCAAGGTCGGAGAAGAAAAATTGTCCCTTCTCTAGACCCCGCTAGTCGACTTCACTAGCGATCGGGCGACCTCCATAGGCTCTATCAATCTTCCCATCACCATCGGAGAGTATCCACGGGAGACCACCAAGCTACTCACTTTCCTTGTCATCGACTGTCCTTCTACTTATAACATAATCCTCGGACGCACGGCTCTTAACGCTTTCCAAGCTGTCACCTCCACATACCATCTAGCCATGAAATTTCCGACCGACCTCGGAGTAGGCACCGTGAGGGGCGAGCAAACGATGGCCAGAGAATGCTACGTCACCTCACTAAAAGAGGTCAAGCTGAAGGAGACTATAAATTGATAGAGAGAGAATAAATTGTATGTATTATTGATTGATTTATGTTTAATGGTGTGTTGAGCTCTCTCCTTTATAGAGGAGAGGGAGAACAATTACAAACCGAAAGTAGAAGCACAAACCAAACAACATTATTAAAGGTACATTATTAAAGCATACTAATTATTATACTAACCTAATTATTAAAGCAACATTTTACATATTATATTCTAACAATAACCAACTTTGACAGTGATATCCGTGCCAACATGCGTATTATTATAGCATTATAAGAGTGTAGTTCTAAGATAGCAGAAAAGGCAAAAAAAACTCACTCAAGTATGTATCCAGGTTCGTGCATAAAGCGTTTCAACCCTACTTCAAAAACATTGTGTGCAACCTGCATGAATATGTAGCAATCAAAAAGATAACCTCCACAGTAGAGCCCTAAATCAATATTACTAACAGGCTAGAAGTTGCCGTACAATGTCTACTTATCAAGAGACCCTTTATATGCTTTCCCTCTGGCCGCAAAAGGTTCTCATACTGTAATTTATTTTTTTTCTCAAAAAAGCTCAGACTGCAATATAGATTTACCAATTACCTTTGGATCTTTGTCAAGACAAAAGGCCATCATGGCATAAGCTACGAAAACATGGTAAGTGCAGTTCGGAGATTTACGTGCATCAAGAAAGTACTTGCGAGCTGCTTCTACTCCTTCAGTTCTTCTTAGAAAGCGAATATACTACAGAATCAACACATAAACACTTCAAAATCTTTTACAATTTCGAGCACAATGCATTTTCTTAAAATGTCCAAAATTCAAAGATAAGCTTCAAAACATGCTGCTCGTCATATTTCTTTTCTCCAATCACGTAACATCAGAAAAATAAGTACATATTTCTAGTTTCAATGATACCTTAAAAATGGAACACAGAGTGATTAAAAAAGTAAAGCCACTTGCTTCAGAGCAGAATTACAGAGGAGACGAAGCTGAGGGCGGTAATTAGGGAACTTTAAGTAGTTCTTTAATCATATACAAGCAACCAATCTAAGTGAAAACAAATTGGGCAAGGGTGAGGTTACTTTTTTTTTTTTTTTTTTTTTCCCCTTCTTTTTGGTGGGGGGAGGGAGTTAGGGGTGCTGCCCGCTAATTTCTTACATCGGCACACATTTACCATTTTATAATTATTTGATTTAACCTCACTTATTTTCCATGTTTCACTTTACATGTTCATCATTTCCAATTAACTGAAAATCACTCCATACAGTGGATTCAACCTGAGCCAACATGGCAACCTAAACATAACAGAAGCTAAATTGGTTATAGAGAGTCAGTCTGGTTACAGAATTATAGCAGTTCATAACCCAACAAAATAATAAGATATTACTTAATTGAAGTAATCAGTATCATTTAAACACTTATATTAACCTCATAATTTGGTTGATCAAGCAACCCAGTATGCTTATCATGCCAAAGTTAAAGCATACATGATTGTGTTCGTCAATCAGCTTGGCTCGAAAACAATCATGATATGGCTCATATTAGCTTTTTTTATTACTAATTATATTCAAGTTAAGTTAGGCCTATCCATTACCTTCCTCTGTTGTTAAAATATACGAGGGATTGTAAAAAACAAAAAGGCAATTTTTGCATATATAAATATATATAACAAAAGGTTTCAAAAAGGAAAATCACTTTGTTCTTCTACATACCCTTTTGCATTGACCTGGTTTTAGCAATCAAACAAAGGCATATGGAGGCAAAAAAGTAAATGAGGTAGAGATATCAAGAATGCCAAAGTTGAAGGAAAAAAAAAATTATGAGATCTATGAGACACATTTGCATTTGCACAGCTTGACTAAGAAAAGGCAAACAAACTACAATTACCTCGGCATGTCCTAATAAAGTTACAAATTTCAGAACACACGAACATTTACTTGTGCTAAAAATGGCTCTTGCTTTGGTTTTCAACCACTCTCAATGATTAAGCAAATAATTAATCATTATGCCATTAAAAAGGTTATTTATTGCTCTTGACCCATCCACGTTTGAGTATAGAAGACAGACGTCTCAGTTTTTTTGTAACAGTACATTAATTATGGTACATCACACATGTAATGAAATAATGTGTCTAGTAAAAAATTAAAAGTCCATACTTGTATATGTGACAGTGCTGTTGCATTGACGCCATCCCCTAAAAGGCTTTCATAGACTTTCTTTGCAGGCTGCATGAAAATTGAAGAATATTGGAAAAACAAACACCCAAGAAATCTGGCTATGAGAAAGAAAACATATGTCACACTTGCTCAACCTGAATTGCTCCACGGGATTCCTCCAGCTCCGCATAAGCATACTTTAGCATTTCTGAATCTAAACATGAAAAAACAGAAATAAGAAATAAAGAAGAGGAGAGAATGAAATGGAAAAATACAGAAGCTACCGTAGCCTTGCTAGAGGAAAAGTAATGAGCCAGTAAATTGTTAAACCAATATTAAATTAGGAATGTTAGGATAAAGTTCTAAGAAAGGACAATAAAAAACCAACAAATGATTAGAAAGTCTATTCACCAAAGACAAAGTAGAGAACTATCAATACCCGGAAGAGCCTTCAGAGCTCGTTGAAATACTTTGATAGCAGAGTCTACTGCACCACTTTTTGCATGCCATGTAGCATAGTCGTACCATATATCCGGATAATGATATAAATACATGAGGCACTGGACATGGACACAAATCAGGGAGTTATTCATTTCGAGCAATAGGAAATACAGATGGCAACAATGCACCCAAACATAAACATGAGCTTGTTGATTTTATACATTTTTTCAATGAAATGATTGTATATTAACAAGCATGTACACTTCTAAGAAGGTAGCACGTCCGTGTCCGACACATACACTTATCAAACACTTCCCGACACGTGTCAGAAACTTCCGCACATGTCCTATTACTTCTTTTTTTTAAATAGACTTGGACACACTTCACATGATATGCGTGTCCATCGCTTAGACACAAATGAAACACATTATAAGTTTTTTTTTATTTTAAAAAAAGGCTTAAAAGATCATTTGAAAAGGACAGGGGCACAGTTGTCAAAGCTGGATGCAAGATGAAAATTCAGATTATTCAATCAAACTTTTAGGAAAATAATCGATGGCACAATGTCATGCATCATGGATTACGCTAGAACAGCTCTACAGTAGTAAGTAAATAATACTACTCTGGATTAAAAAGCACAAAAAACAACATATAGTTACATTTTTAGTACCTGCTCATATGTGAAAGCAATTCGTTTGTTGGCTGAAGTACTATCTATTCTTTGAGGGTTTCCTCTGAAACATACATTATTAGATTCAAGTCAGAAATATCTCAAGTGAAGTTTGCAGATATAAAACTATAAATCCATTCCTAATGGTTGCAAAGAATATGCACTTGGCAATAGTAAATGGCATCAAATGTCACATTTTAACAATGCAACATCAAATTCTAGAAGAAAGAAGACAAATAACCCATGATGAGGATGGTGAGACAACTGAGAAGCAAGACGAAACAAAATAGTGAGATGGGTTAGAAACAACTACTATTTTGCTGCTGGAAGGAAATGGATCAATTTTTCTACAAAAATTCTCCTTTTGGATGATGCTTTCTATGAAAAAAAAAATTAAGAGTGACCCATTACGTTATCTATTACATTTCTTACAGGAAACATATATTTTGTTAAGATCTAAAATAGTTTCCCCAATTCTACAAAAAATGCAATGGAAGAAAAAATCTCTTCATATGAAAATTTTCCCCACCAAACTTTCCAAGAACCCCCTCAATTCCATGGGATACAACTTTCTTAGTTTCATAGAACTCTCACTAGATAATGCATGAGTGAAAGGCATTACCTCCAAATGTATTCAAAGCCTAAAAATTGTCTAGTGCAAGTGTAATATCATGCCAGTAAAATGGAGATCGGTTATGGTTCTTACTTTTCGAATGCTAGAAATCTTTTCCACGCCATCCACTGCAGTTCCTCCTATAAGAGCACAATAATAGATTACATTCTTCCACTAATGTAAACAATTAAGGAAGTATAATTATCTTTGTGGTATGAACATGTTAAAAAATACAAAAGCAATGTAGCTCCTTGAAAGCTTTCCAATATATATACCCATAACAAAAAGCAGACAAATTAGCACGTGTAATATTGTCAAATTTGCAGGTCAATAGTTCTCTTATTTACATGCAACACACTTCTGTAGATAAATGAATTTTAAAAAATAATATCATAATTTAAGTGGGAAGAAGAGAACATTTTTCTTGCAAAATTTCTCAGTGCTCTGCCAAAAGAGAAAGTAAACTTTCAAGCAGGCACCTTCAAGTACAGTAAATGACTAAGACTGCAGATTCTAATAACAGACTAATATTGAACAATGCTGGTGAATAATCTTAAATGCAAGTTGCACAAAGAAGCAAAGAATTACCTTATAAGAACCAGATGGTGGCACAGCAAGCATATTCCAATCAATTTCATCAACATATTTCTTCTGTTCCCTATAGACGGCCCTTGCGCTGTTATATTTTGGTTGATATTCGGATACTAATCCTTTTGCCTGCATTATATCATATTATCAGATTGTAATTTTATACACAAAATTGTTATAAAATTAATATGATAACCACAAAGACTTCAAACACCACATTTGTATAATAATTCCCGCCAATATCTAATAACTAATCTTGCATGTGCCTTTCAAAATGCAAAAATGTAAAGTCTAATTGTCAAAACTGAGTTCCGTTTGTCCTCGTGAAAGAAACTGAAGTTGATTACTACCCATATGGGAACATAACCTAAATTCATCCACAAATTACTGATGATGGTAAGATCAGGTTAATTTTTACAATTCTTCCAATGATTTTATTATAACTAAACTTATCATCCCATGTAAAATGGTTTAGCTAAACAAATATGTAAATATTTATCACCTTACATTTCCATTGCATTTGAAATTCAGAACCAAATACTGACCAGGGCACGGCTGACAGAATTTTCAAAATTTTCATAGTCCTTCCAAAGCTGTTCAACATGATGGGTAGGAGTAACAATAGCTTTTTGATATGCTTTCCTCACAGCAGTCATTCGCTGCGACTCTTCTTGTGTGCTTTGAGCCTGCACCCTCATCTTGCAAGATTAGTAAATGAAAATAGTGAAAAGACACAAAGCAGTTAACAGCGCGTCTTGTCTGTATAGAAGGAAGCATAAGACAGACCGGCATGGACTTTAAAAAGGTAATGTACTCCATCCATACAGGCCCCGATGCAATGTCTGCTCCTGTAAGGGCATTGCAAAAAAATAAGTATCATTAAAGTACTTTGATAAAACATCAAATTAAATCGTTCACTTAATAAAACCATTCTTTAATATTTATATGTACTTCAAGTTAATGTTTTCTCTATCAAAGAGAGGAATCAAGAAGAATGAATTACACATACCCTACCTTAAAATCTTTGTAACCCCTTTAATTTCCCAATCTTCTTCCTTGGAAGCTCCTTCTTCTTTCTCCCTAATTCTCCTCTTCTAACCCTCTTAGAAAATAGTTTTGTGTTTTTGGGTCCAAGTCAATGACTAGAGCATACATATATATATATATTATGTTATAATAATTGAATAGGACAAAAATCAATCGTTTAAGCATCCCAAATTGAAATTTCACAGAAACATTTAATATTACTTAAAAATTATGTTGATCACATATATAACTTCAATTTCAGATAATTAAGTCCCTAAGGCTTCCAATTTCTGCTTTACTTACTTAAATAGGGGATTTACTTACTTAACCGTAATTCCACATGGAATTTCACAATAAGCATATAAATATACAGAATAAGGGAACTGAAAGTATACCAGAATCATAGACGAGGGTCGGGTTATTACATGATTTCCCTAACTGGACTGTTGCTCTAGCTTCCTTAAGCAGTCTTCCACTTCTTTTACTCAGTTCACTATTAATCGATAGTGAATTTGATATTGCTGCAGTTGTTGCTCTGAAAATGGCACCCCTATTGAAGCTTTTTGGAAGTATTCTTCCTTTTTGATTTGGCATTACATTCCTTTTTGCCACTCCACTTCTCTTTTGTTCATACAATCCCCTTATTTTAGAATCAGCTCTTTTTCTATTCATTTCATGTTTACCCTTCCCTTCCTCCTATACTACTTGGACACTACCATCTTTGAGTTGTGATTGGGTTGCACAATCACTCAAATTTGATAGTAATAGCACACCAAGCCTAACATGACTTGCTTCAGCTTGAGTTTTATGTAACACAACTTCTAAATTAATATTGGGCCTAACAATCGCCGGCCCACTCATACTCTTCATAAAGCCAGTCGTGTAAATACTGTCATCAATATAGTGAATATTGTCAACCACCTTTTTGCTAGGAGAATTGTGTTCCCCAAGCCATCATTTGCCTTCTTCGTTGTGGATTCTGACACCCTATTATCCCGTTCTTCCAACTCATGTTGCCTACCCTCCAGTGTGTCTTTGACAATTCTAGCCACATCATCAGTAAGTGGCACGTCAGTACTTTTTTCAACTTTCTTCCCTACTTCCGTCTGACTAGCTTTGATGCCTAAGTTCATGTCCTCCCCATTATCGGAAATGGAGATTAATCTCTTATTATTCTGATAAGTGCGAAATCCTGTGCTTGTCCATCCTTGTGGTAAAAACTCTTCAAGCACCCTAACTGGATAATGCTTCCCATTGCACTCTAACATGATCATTTTGTTAATAAACTCTCTTCTGCTAGTTATTATTCTTACTTTTCTGCATTTAAATGACATCAAATTACCGGTCTCTTCATCATGTTGGACAACTTCTCCCTAAATCTTACCAATCCCCTTGAAAGTTCCATTATTCCACAAATTAACAGGGATGCCATAACATAATAACAAAACACACCTTTCATACTCAATGACTTTTCCTTTCTTCCACTGGTACGCACCACTCATAAATCCATTCCTCTAGTCTTTCCTTCCATTCCTTCATATGCTCCCCAGATTTGAATGATAACAAAGCTACTCTGCTCCCACCATCTCTAATAGTCACCTCTTTTATCCCTCTTTTGCTAAACTCCTGTTTAAAATCATTAAAAGAAAAGAATGACTTAAGCTTTACCACTAACCTTTTAGACAACCATCTATTGCCAACTTCTTGTACGTTTATAGTAATCATATGGTTGTCCTTTCTTAAGCCTTGTACTACATCAACATAAGATCTCTGACCAATACCCCCGACTACAGGCTGTTCGTGCTTCATCTGATCATTCTTAATAGCTTTTCTTTTGTTAAGCACCTATTTCTACTGATACTGAGCTTCATTGCCAAACTCAGCTAACCTCACCTTCAACACCTTATCATCACACCATAAATCCTTCTACTTTTTGGACTACTACCTTTGCGGCAACTTGGCAATCGTATCTAATGAACCCAAATCTTGATCCAGTAGCTTTCCTTCTTTTCCTCGGGATAAAGACATCCTTCACCACTCCATAGTTGCTAAATAACATGAATAAGCTTTTTGGCACCATGGATTCCAGTAAATTATCCACAAATACCGTAAACAACCCTGGTCCCCTTTGAAGATTCTGATGGTGACTTGGCAGTCTTCTCCTGAGCACCGGTTCCATTCCTCCATCTTTGGTCACCATCCTCCCTTCGTCGTTCACCGTCGATTGATTCATGTTGCTCTTTTCTATTTGTTTGCTTAATGCTAGTTCATATTTATATTTATATATGAAGTTTCTGATATTAATTTCTAGAAGTTTGTTTTTGATTCATTATGTGCTAGAGTTTATATCTTTGAATTTTTTGAAGTTAAAATTTTGGGTGTTTATCGATAAAATTAATTGGATGAAGACTTTTAAAGCTATGATTGAGTTGAGTATATTTCATTTCAAGATTTCATTATTTGAAAAAAAATTAGCTATGCATTTTTTTTAAAAGGTACATCAGTCCCCTGTTTTAAGGAGGAAAAAGAAAAGGAAAAAGAAAAAAAGTGATACTACAAATTGAATTAAACCATGTAGATTTGGACCATCATTTTGAAATCTATTTCCAAGAGGAGAAAGAAAAAAAAGAATATAAAGAAAAATCATATACTTAATTCGTTGTCTCATACCCAAAGAAACATGAATGTAAAGTAAAATCAATAGTAGTGCACAGAAATGAGCAAAGCAATCTATAACTGTCACTGAGATTGATAAATAAAGTTAATAGAAAAAGTTAATAAAGTTCTTATCTTTTATCCAAAAAAAAAAAAGAAGAAGAAGAAGAAGAAGAAGTTCTTATCTTTTACCAAGACTTGGGAATAGATAAACTTGTTATTGATTAATTTCTAGTACACCTATGTATATATATATATATATACATTCCAATTTGGTGAAATTTACATATTCAGGTTCATAAAGCTGTGTGCTCGTGCTAGGAACACTTTACCTTCAATAATTTTAGAACTCCAAATTTATAGAGTTGCCAGTGCCTTTTCGCAAATCCTAGTAAATCTCGATTTGTATATCTTACTGGAAATTGAATTTGGATTATTTATTTATTTACATTCTGGGGCCCTGCTTTTATTCATCGTCCCTGGTGTCAACATGTACCATGGAATTTTTGGTGCTTCTATTGCTTTAAAAGTCAACTTTCCACCATACTGATTAGTGTTACCATTTTGCTCCATGAAATAGTTGTGAAAAATAGTAGTACAAAATCCAGGGGAAAAAAAAGTTGTGAAAAATAAACAAAATGAAATAGTTTAATCCTCCTACGTCCATGTTTGGGAATTGATGAAGAAAATTTAGTTTCATATATATGCATTATGTCTTATGATGCTTGTCATTGTTTTAAATTTAGTAGTTAAGCTTAATTGCTTTTTATTAAGTTTGTGATTTCAAATTATTTGTGATTTCATATTGTATTGAATCATTAAACTTAATTGTTTTTTTCCTGATTTGGTAATTCTAGTAGGCTTCATATTTGTCTATATGACATATATTAATATTGATTTTATATAAATCAGGATGCTTCAAATGAATTGAATTACGATACCATTCTTCTTTGGAAAGAGAAGATTTTTCGTTGCCCTTTTATGATACATGTTCAAATTCAATGTTCGGTTGATGATTTATCTTAATCTATTCCACATGTGATGGGATTTAATTCATGATTAATATGTAATGTATGTTTGTGTCCCACTTTTACTAATTTTGTATTGATTCAATCAAATTTTATAGGTTCCTTAATTATCCCCATTTTTGGGAGTTGTGTTCATTACATTATTTAATATCAATCTAGAATATAAAGTAACAAGATATTGGGATTTAAGGATAATGTCTTTGTTCACTTTGTAATAGGGAATAATGTAGGATTCAGAAATTTTAATGAATGGGAATGGTATTAGAATTGGTGAAAAAATTATCTAGTTTTGGATTTTTATATATGCCTTCATGGATGTGGTTTTTAAATAAGAAAGGGGATTTTGTTTCAGCTATGCAAGAACCTGTTATCTTATGTTATAAAGATCTTGTTGATTTGTATGTGTTTTTTGTTTTAGCTATGGGTTGGATATTAATATGCATTCCATTTTTATGCAGAAAAAAAAAATAGGGGCCAAAAATGAAGGGGAAGAAACTTACATTGTTATATCTTGTCATTGATCATTTAGTTCAAGTTGATGTCACTAGATCAGAAAATGCAGTTCAAGCAAATATGGAGCTTGAATTCTAAAGCAACAAGGAGAGATTTGCTTTTCTAGAATGGGGGTCAAACGCTTTTCACAACATGCTTGTTATTCCTCCAGGTTCTGGTACCATGCAGTAGGTATGGGAGTTAACATAGCAGCTTTGGTGAATTATAGTGTTTCAATATATCGAAATGCTTATCTATCTCCTCTCATTTTTCTTTTTATTTTTTTTTTTATAATTGTTTTTCCTGCAATGTTGTTTAAACCCTTTCAGTTTCCCTTTTCAGGTTTTGTTTCCAAAAAAAAACCTTTTTAATTCTTATTATTTCAAGATTTGGCTCCACTGTTGGTTTCTCTCTTTGTAGCAGATAAGCAAGTTGACACTCTATTTTATCAAAAAAAAATTGCTTGAAAAAAGTTGCTTTTTTTTGTTTTTTGTTTTGATAAATGCAGGTTTGAAGCAATGTGGTAAGAGTTGTAAGCTTATATGGTTGAATTATCTTACACCAGACATCAAAAAACGTTACATATCCCCACTACAACAAAAAAAAAAAAGAAGACATTTTTAACAACTTTCCAAATACATTAATAATAAAAACAACTAAAAAAATTAAAAAGTAAAAATCCACTAAAAAAATCAACTCCAAACTTACCCTTAAACAAGCGGCCTTCTCCACCGTCGACCTTCATCTGTTCAAACTTACCCTTAGACAAGCGGCCTTCTCCACCGTCGACCTTCCGGCTAAGCTTACCTTTAGACGAGCGGCCTTCTATACTTTCGAGCTCCATTCGGCCAAATTACCGTCAAAACTATAAATAATGATAAGGATATCAATAAATAAATAAATAAATAATGGGTTAATTACATTTTAAAGGGATTTTAGGCCAATACCCCCTCATTAGTGAAAAGGATAATCCAAACTTTTTTAATTTATAAACCCCTTGGAGAAAAAGCGCCTCTTTCATCAAGGGCAAATAAATTTGTTTTCATTTTTTTTTATAGACAATCTTACGCCTAGTAACTACTTTTATATTTCAAACTTTAAAATAATATAACTTTTGATCTATATATTGGATTTTAATAAAATTAGTAATTTTAGAATCTTCTCGTCAAGATCTGTTAAACAAGATTTATGTTGGCTATAAAATTCTTTAAAAAAAATCATAATTTTTTTCCCTGTCGAAACTAACGTCAACAGTCAAATTTTACTTACTGTGAAACAGAGTAAAATTTTACTATTTACGTCAATTTCGACAGTAATTTTTTTTCAAGAAAAATTTCATATCAACCAGAAAATCTCATTGATGGAATAGCAAATCTGTGGCTATCTCCTTTGTTCTGGAAGGTAAAGCTTCTGCTATTTGTCAAGCTTGTTTAATGGCTCAAGCAAAAAACCTTTTGAACAATGAAATTGAAGGTGATAATCAGTCTGTTATCCATCTCTATGCTTCATAAACAGTCCCTCCTTGGGAGTGCAAGGGCATTATTCATGATATCAAATGTTTCGCTTAGCAAGGGAAGTTGTCCTTTCGTTGGAGTCCTCGATTGGCAAACATGGCAGCTCACTAGACAACCCAATCCTATCTTCGAGGGGTTTTGCCAATTTCTTGGACGTCTTCCCCTCCCCCTGGCTTATTGTCGGTGCTTGCTTTGTAATTGCTTGGTTTCTAGTGTAATGTTTTTCTCAAAAAAATAAATAAATAAACCTAGATGTTGTTTGATAGATCCTGATGACATAATTCTAAAAATACTAATTTTATTTAAAAAATAAACATTTAGATCAAAAGTTATATTATTTGAAAGTTTAAAATATTAAATTAGCCCCTAAGGATATTTTTGTAATAATGGCGTATACTAGATTATTCAAGAAAAATATTTTGTATTTGTCCTTAATGTATTAAAGTTTTATGAGTAAAATTCATTTAAACCCTTGTGGTTTGACAGTAATGTAGGAAAAATGGTTTTTTGGTTTGAGAATTGAATGAGAAATTATCTCATAAAATTGGTCTCATGAATGAGAGATTGAAAATAATGATTAAGCATATTATACATGGTCTAACCATGAGAGACACATAGCCTTCATAGTGTCTTAGACCATGAGACACACATGGCCTAACCATAAGATACACATGGTATTGGAAGCCATGAGATACACATGGCCTTGCCATATATGTCTTGCCATAGATGCCTTTATAAGGGCATGCTCAACATTGTGAAGAAACATACAAAAAATAAGCTAAGTTCTCTCCTCCTCTTTTCCCCATTATGTATAGAAGGAGACCATCTTCTTTGGTTGGAATATAGGAATTTTTAGCTTTCATATTATAGTCAGTTTGCTCCTACAATATATTATTCCTGTGTGAGAGAGTGCTGCCATTGTCAGTTTGCCGGAGCTAAGCAGAAGGTGCTTTTGCGTTAACAGGTTCTAAACCGTCGTATCCTTGGAGATAGACGCCGACATATCTCCAGCACCCATGGTGAGGCGGCGAATTTGTTTTAAGGAGATTGTTATATCACACAGGCTTTCGTTTGCTTTCTTTTCTCATTTCAGCATTTTAATTTGTTAGATGTATTTTTGTTCATCAAGAATCAAGATGTAATTTCCCATGAATTCTTGTTCTGCGGTTTTTCCAATTTAATTTACCGTGAATTTATTTATTTTATTTAATTCACACAATTTGTATAACAATCTTAAAATAGATTTTTCGTTTCTCATGGAATTAACAAATAGAAGGCCATTGTTTCATATGTAAATTCATATACAAAATGTTATGTTTTAATTTTTCAATTTAATAAGAATGCTTTTTATCTCTAGCATAATTTGCATGCTTATTTGGTTCTACTATAATTTTATGAGCATGATTCATGGTTTCCTACCATGCTTTGCAAGCCTTTTTATTTTATAATTTTATAATATAATCTACATGCTCATGAGTGCTTAACTTTTTTTTTTAGTTAAAATTGACATGCTAATTAGGTTCTACTTTTCTAGTATAATATACATGTTCATTATTTTCTAAATTCTAGTTTAATTCACATGTTTATTAGATGCTAGATTTGTAGGATAATTTGCATGTTCTTCCTTTTCTAGATTTTAATTTATGTTACATGCTTATTAGTTTCTAGAGTTGTTTGCATGATTTTATTTCTAGAATTATTTACATGTTAATTGCTCTAGAATTATGTGCATGTTACAATGCCCTATTCTTCTCAGTCAAATGGCATTGCAGAGCGGAAAAATAGGACGTTGAAGGAAATGATGAATGCAATATTGATAAGTTATGGGTTGCCACAGAACTTGTTGGGGGAAGCAATTCTCTCTGCAAATTACATTATAAATAGTATACCTCCGAAGAAAGTAGACAAGACTCCATATGAATTATGGAAAGGCCGCAAACCTTCTTATAATTTCCTACGAATGTGGGAGTGTCTTGCAAAAGTGATGGTACCTACACCCAAACGGGTTAGGATAGGTTCGAAAATGATGAATTGTATATTCATTGGTTATGCATAGAATAGTAGTACATATACGTTTCTTGTGAACAAGTTGATATTTCAAATATACACAATACCATTATGGAGTCAAGGAATGCATCATTCTTTGAGGACGTATTTCCTTGTCAAACCCGAGGAGGGGATCAAAGTGCTGAGAAGGAACTTGATGATGATCCTAGTGATAGTGATCAAGATGAAGAAGTAGATGAGCCAAGAAAGAGCAATAGGGCAAGGACTTCCAAGTCCTTTGGTCCGAACTTTTTGACTTATATGTTAGAAGGAGGACCTTGAACTTTCCATGAAGGTGTGACTTCATCTGAAAGTCCTTTGTGGAAAGAAGCGATTAAAAGTGAAATTGACTCTATCTTATAGAACCATACTTGGGAGTTGATTGACCTACCCCCAAGCAATAAGGCCTTGGGGGGTAAGTGGATCTTTAAAAAAAATATGAAGGTTGATGGGTCAATTTATAAGTACAAAGTTAGGCTAGTTATCAAAGGATATAGGCAACGAGAGGGCCTGGATTATTTTGATACGTATTCACCTGTGACAAGGATAACATCCATTCGCATGGTGATTGCAATAGCAACTTTACATGGTCTGGAGATGCATCAGATGGATGTAAAGACAGCTTTCTTAAATGGAGATTTAGACGAAAAAATATACATGGAGCAACCCAAGGGGCATTCAGCTTCAGGACAAAATAAGAAAGTTTATAAGCTTGTCAAATCATTGTATAGTTTAAAACAAGCTCTTAAGCAATGACATGAGAAGTTTGACAACGCTATGTTGTCAAACAGGCTTAGAATCAATGAGTATGACAAGTGCGTATATGTCAAGGACACTGACAGAGGTTATGTCATTTTGTATCTATACGTTGATGACACACTCATTGTTAGTAGTAATGATGAAATGATTAGAATTACCAAGAGACTGTTAAAATCTGAGTTTGACATGAAAGATATGGGCCTTGTAGATGTAATTCTGGGTATTGAGATTGCCAGAACATCTAGTGGTATTGTACTTTCTCAGTCTCACTAGGTTGAGAAGATATTTGAGAAATTTAAGAAATCAGATACGAGTGTGTCTTAGACACCGGTAGACTTGAGTCTACATTTGACCAAGAATAATGGTGAGAGTGTCTCTCAACTAGAATATTCTCGGGTCGTTGAAAGTTTGATGTATCTGATCAGTTGTACAAGGCCAGATATAGCCTACTCTGTTAGCAAGCTTAGTAGATACACAAGTAATCCAAATACTACTCATTAGATGGGCATTATGCGGGTGTTGGGGTATCTCCGCTACACCTAGGATTATGGGCTGCATTATACCAGATACTCAGCGGTACTAGAGGGGTATAGTGATGCTAATTGTATATCTGATATAAAAGACTCCAAATCCACTAGTGGTTATGTGTTTACCCTCAAAGGGGCAGCTGTGTCTTGGACGTCTTCCAAGAAAACATGTATATCGAGATCAACGATGGAATCTAAGTTTATTGCTTTGGGTAAAGCAGTTGAAGAAGCTGAATGGCTTCGCCAATTCGTTGAGGATATTCAACCTTGGCTGAAACCTGTGCCTGTTATCTATATTCATTGTGATAGCCAAGAGGTGATTGGGCGGGCATAGAGTAATATATATTATGGAAAGTCTGGACATATCCGTTGTGGACATAATTCTACATGAAAACTACTCTCTAATGGAGTTCTCTCTCTAGACTATGTAAAATCTAAGGAAAACATTACGGATCAGCTAACCAAAAGGTTAACTCGAGAGTTAGTAGAAACATCGTCAAGAGGAATGAAGTTAAGGCCTTTATCTAATGTTACTAGAACGGAAAACCTAACCTAGCTGATTGGAGATCCCAATATCTAGGTTCAAAGGGATAACCTAACTGCGTTCAATGGGTGAATCACTGAAGAGGTAAATCCTTTTGCCATTCCTTTATTCACTGAAGAGGTTAAGCTAATGCTTTTAATGACCTAAGTGATGCGAATAATTAACTGTGGTATAACGATACACCTTATATAAGTCACCGATGTGAGTGCAAAGTGGGGTTGCTTCTTTAAGAATTGACAAAGCTGAATTTTTTAAAAACACTCACTGAACCAGGCCAGCGTTCCAGGGCCATACCAGACACGCCAATGAGAATAAGAACAATGGTTGGAGTAACTCTTATGTGAAGTCTATTGTCTTGGTTTACACAAACGGCAGAACAGTTCAAGACATCACATTCACTGGTTAGCCAGCAAACCCGATAGGCTTTCACTACGAAATGTTCAAGGCCAACAGTTACCTTTTCTGATGCAGGGTT